CCCACCCCCACACACACCAATAAATTATTGGGCAGGGAGGAGGGTACCTTGATGTTTCTGGGCTCAGTGATTTTACCATGCAAGTAGAAGACCCTGCAAACTACAGTCCCTTTATCATATGATAGAGGGACTGTGTGTAAACCTTACTTTCTAAGGACAGCGGTCACTTTACTTGAACCTATCCCTCACCCAAGGCATGATCCAGATAATGCTAAGTATTCCTCCCAATCCATATCATTTTGAACAGATTTTAACAGCACAGTTTCTCTAATCACTCGCATTACTGTGTTCAGGACATCAGTGTTAAGCTCCCAGGCGATTTTCAAAAGTCATGCATGGTGACTTGTGGAGATATTGATACACCTACCCCCCCTCCCCCCAAATATCTCACGCCAACCTTCAATTTTCAAGTTCGTTCACCCCTGCACTGATCCTTGATCGCGTATATGCGATCGGTGTATTCCTGTTATATTGTGGACAAAATGAGCTCGACAGCTTTGCACAGTATAATATTATATTTCTCTGTTATAGGTCATGTATTACAGCGATGGTCATGACGGGCATTGACACGTACGCACCGGGCCCGTACACTGTCGTGAAACCAATAAATATTATTACTTACTGAAGAAAATTCGGTAATCGAGTGAATTCGGCGCTCCCCTCTCAACGATTGTGTACGACATTATGGCTTGTTTAATCGGACTGCAAACTGCGAAGGCTCGTAGCGACGAAAATGTCTGCGCTCTAACAACCAGTTGACTGAATACTGTACGGGACAGCTGTGCGACACTCAACATGCGGACACTGATTATGAATGAACACCGGCTGCTGATACGAAATCTGTTCAGTAATAACGCGTATTGTAATTGGTCGACTGCGACCTTTCGATATAATGACCTTGCGCCGACGGAACATTCGCAGAGACCACGAAAGCAGTATCCCGCATTATAAATACTGCTTAGGTAAACATGGCAAATTAACGCAATATTTTTTTTTTAAATTTCATTTGTGATTTAAAAATGAGTATAGTGATAAATGGAAACATGTAGAAAAAACGAATGACCAATCACGACATCCGTGACAAATATTGCCTGATACTCCAGTTCTCGCAAAGTGTCACGGGAGCGGCATGCTCATATGTTGCAAACGTGTGTGTTCAGACGTGTGTGCGAGTTCACAGTTGTGCGCAGTCCTCTCGGCTCGCGGGTCCTAGTATGGACCTTTGTCATGACTTGGCACACAGTCCCTCTAGATAGAAGGACTGTGGTACAACGCACGAGTTAATAGTAGCGATTATTGTTATAACACTTAATTAATACTCGTTTTTTATTCTTCTGTTCAGCTGCATTTGGGTGATGTTGGTCCTAGAGGCGTGATTCTTAGGCGATATGTGTTGAAAGTAATATTAATAAAAACTAATTTAACTTGTGAAAAAGGTTTTGAGTTGTACAGCAGATTTAAATACTAGTAGCAGCGACCTCGCCAAGGATAAATACATGCATTTGAATACTTTTTTAGTCTGAATTTTGCAAAGGCGCAGTATGCAACAACAATACTGTAAACTTATTATTTTTAAGTGGCAACTAAAAAAACAAATGGAGAAACGGAAATTGCCCATAGGTGGAATAAAAACAAAAGAACGTCATTGAGGACCAGAATTGAGGAAGAGGTGAATGATATACACGTACAGTTTGTACCATGTCTCTCATAGTGTGAACAAATTGCATATCAGGGGTACATTTTGTTATCCTGAATTATTTTTCTTTTAAATAAGTTATAAAAAACGTCATTTTACTTTAAAGGGCGGTAGTCGTCGCGCTGCGCATGTGCGAAATTGTGTTGATAAACATTGATTTTCCCACAATTCAATGCTCTCTTATGAGGACACACGTATGAGGTTTGACCTAGACACGACTTGCACTAATTATTACCGCCGGCGACTCATTCGGTACCTTACAATCACTAAAAAATACCTAATTAAAGCTTGGTAACGTCTCAGTTTGTACTCGTTGATCTGCCCAACAGTAAAAGTCGCCATCTTTGTTTATATTTTTTTATTTTTTTTTTTTTATTTATTATATTTTTTTATTAGACGCATAAAATCCTTAGGAAAGGATAAAAAGGGTCTTACAGAAAGAAATTTAAAAAAAAACTACAATCTAAAAAATAAAACAAAAAATAAAAACTTTTCTAAAAAAAATTAAACAAGTCAAAAACAATAAAGACAATTTGCAGCCAATGGTGAATACAGAATATGGAATGAACACAAAATGTGGCCTAATACACTGATAGTTGTTGCTGTTTTGTTCCATAGCTGTTTTTTAAGAAGACAGCTAAGGCTGGTGCTAGAGTATGGTTTGCCATAATAAAAATGAATTTATTCTGACTATTTTCTTTATAAAAATTTGGAATTTTTTTTTTTTGCAGTCAGGAATAATTTGTCCCTATGGTGACTGTAAGCTGGACATTTCATTACAAAATGTTGCTCATCCTCAACTATATTTTGGCTGCACATATCACATGTTCTTTTATCC